GTCCTTATACTGATAAATAGTATCATGAAGAGAACCCTATTGAAAAACTAATAATAAAGTGGTTATCTATTTTCTGTGAGCAAGTCAAATGAGAAAGTAAGTGAGAACTGTTGAGAAGTAGTAATATTTAAGCTGCTGCATTAGAGAAAACAGTATGGACACTTTATCTTTCTATAATGTATACATGGCAGTACCACTAGATTTTAAGCTATGGTAAGGCAAATAGATGACTTCTCTGCTCTAGCTTGTGGACCCTGGTACAGGTAATCAATAGATAAGTCACCTTTATAACTCAGTAACTGAATTACCTATTCCAGTTTCAATTTTAATTACCCTTTCACAAATTGAATGTTTGAGGTTAGAAGATTTTTCATTGAAATAAAAATATTGGCTTTTTTCCCCTTGGTTGGGACATAAAAGTTTATATGACTAGACATAAACTGAAAAGGATTTCCATAGATCCTAGAAATTTGGCCAACTGGACATTTCTAAAATCATTATTTTTCTTTGGAAACTATTGTTTAGAATGATATAAAACTGCTCATAGTCACCAGTTTTTGACCCAGGAGGTGACAATTTCATGACATTCTCTGTAATCATGCTAATTGATTATATAGTTTAAATTTTGGGATATACTTTAGTTGTTTTGTTTCTGTACATAAGCTAATTTCACCAAATAAGCTATTTTGTTTTCTTACTCAATAAACATTTATTGAACACATATCACACAGAAGTTACTAGGGTATGCACCCATGGTATGGAATTTGTTGCCTGTCCCAACGGGGCATGCAGTCTAATGAGGCAGAAAGACACATGAGCAAGCAAGTACAATATGGAAACTAGCACAGTGGTTGATAGTTGCTCAATAAATGTTCTTTCTCTTCCCCTCACATTGGACATAGAAGTACAGTGTGTTAAAGGAACACAAAAAGTGAGTCTCTATAAATTTAAACAACCTTGGAAGGATTCATTGCAGAAAATATCTCCTTTTATCCTTAAAGTGTTTGTGTTAAAAGACTGTGTAATAGGCAGATCACTAGACTAAGGCTTCAAATATTTGACTTCTCATATAAACTCTTATCACATATTAGGGCTTTTTTTAAACCTTAATCACATTATTTAACTTCCTTTAACTTTTTTAACTGCAAAATGAAAAACTGTAATCTCATTTGCCTTTCTCCTATATTTGTTGAGGGTCAGATAGGATAATGCACATGAAACAATTTTTCAAATTGTAATTTATAATATTAACAAAAGATACAATCTTTATAATCATCTTCCTTATTACTAGTCTTATTTTCAACAAGGCCTTTCAACAAAGTGCTATGTAAAAGATCAAGGAGGATTATCACCTTGATTTGTATTTTCCCAAGTCCAGGCTTAATTATATATTTGGGAATAAGTACCACATTTGGCCTTAAATAATCATTTTAGAAAAGAGGATGAATTGTTTAGCCATTAGTAAGTATTTCGAGCAGGGCTCAATAAACAGTGGATGAAGGGTCTGCTGATAGCAGATGGATAATTATGTTCAGCATTTTTTTAATGAAGGAGAATACAGAAAAATACATATAATTCAAAGAAATTAACTCTCAGATAATAATAATTCCCATTACTAGAGAAAGCATGATAAGCCAGGCTTGTTGGTTTATGAGTATCATCTCATTTCAGGTTTAGAACAACCTTTTGAAGTTGATTCTATTATTATCACTGTAATTTTACAGATGAGGAAATTGAAACCTAAAATATTATATTACTTTCTGCAAGTCACCAAATGACTATCTCTGATGACAGTATAATGATAGAATTATGAACTTAACAGCTCTACTTTTGCTGTATTTGTTGCAGCCCTGATCTGGCAATAGTCACCACCCCCAGGTTTATACTCTCTTTTCTACTTAGTAATCCCCATTTTCTCCAGAAAAGCCCACAAGGCAGGCACTCATCTCTCTGAGCTTTAGTTTCCTCACCTATGAAATTGGGCTACTGTTGGAAATTCATCAATGAAAAAAATAATATAAACTCTATTTCCTGGGAACTCATATTCTAGTTGGAGGAGAGAGAAAATCAATAAATATGTACATATTATCCCTAGTTTTGAGATGCTTTATCAAGAGAAATAAATGTTTTAAGCAGCATAGCCAGAGAAGACTTCTCTGAGCAGGTTTAGCAGAGCCCCGAAGAAGTGAGGAAGCAAAGTTATACAGGTATTTGCATGAAAGGTAGCACTATTGTCATGAAGGGCAGACACGGGTATAGGTCTCTGGGTGAAGGGCATTCCAGGCAGAGCAAACAGCATATACAAGGTCCCTGAAAAAGCACTGTGCTTGGAGAAACAATAAGGAGCCAGTGTGATGGTCAGAGTGGAGAGAGTAGGAGCAATAGTTGTAGGAAAATCAGATCAAGGAAGTAGAAGAGATGCAGAAAAAAATATTACTGGCCATTAGGGCTTTAATATTACTCTGAGTGTTGTGAGAAGACCTTGAGCACTGAGAAGGAATATGATCTGACTTTAATTCAAATAGGACTCCTCCACTGTGTGGAGAAATTAGAAGCAGAGAAACCAGATATTAGACCAGGCTATGGAATAAATATGAATAAATTATCCAGAGAGAAATTGGACCAAGACATAGCAATAGATGTGTCTGGAGAAGAAAGCAGAATACCGATATATAGAATTTTCAAAGCATAGGTGAGAGGAAATAAAGGGGATAAGGTGTAGAGGCGATATAATCCAAAAAGAGAAGGTATGAGATCAAAAAGAAAAAAAAGTTTCAAGGTAGACTTTGTCCTGAGCTGCTAGAAAAATCATTCCTGAAATGGTGCTTGGTACACAGTAAGAGCTGAAAATGTTTAGTTGTATGAATGAATGCAACTGTCATTAGAAAAGAAATCTTTGTCGGGTTAAATAGAAATGAAGAGTGTGATTGTAGACAGGTTGATTTTTGAAGCCTCCAAGTGGAGGTCTTGAATAAGCAGTACTATATACAAGTCTGCAAGAGATTTCAGTTTGGCCGTCTTCAGTTTATACGTGGTGTTTAGAAGCATTATATTATCGCCTAGAGAGAGAGTATAGATAAATAAGATGTCTACTGATTTGAGACCTGGGGTGCTCTAAGACTCATTGGCCTGTGAGACAAGACAACCAACAATGGATGTTCAGCAGAGTAATCACTGAAGGAAGAGGGGGGGCAAGGGAGTTGTTTCCTAGGATCCAAGTGCAAATGGTGTTTCAGAAAGGACTGAGTGATCATTATGCCAAATATTAATAATTTTTGTGTAATATGAAAATTTAGAATTGGCTCTTTGATTTAGCAATAAACATGTTTTCATCTCCTGCCTTTTCTTTACCTCTCTCCACACACCAATTGTCACCTACCAACTTCCTCTAAAGTTATTAAAATCCCAGGCACATTAAATTACAATTCATATTTCATATATCCTACTGAAGGGTAGTTAATCTTCTTGAAACCATGAGATTTGGGAAAGCATTTTATAAGATTGACCTTTTTTACTTTTTGGAGACAGAGTCTTGCTCTGTCTCCCCGACTAGAGTGCAGTGGCGTGATCTTGGCTCACTGCCACCTCCACCTGCCAGGTCCAGGTGGCAATTTTCCTGCCTCAGCCTCCTGAGTAGCTGGGACTACAGGCGTGTGGATGATTTTTGCATTTTTAGTGGAGACAGGGTTTTGCCATGTTGGCCAGGCTGGTCTTGAACTCCTGACCTCAGGTGATCCACCCACCTTGGCCTCCCAAAGTGCTATCATTACAGGTGTGAACCACTGTGCCCAGCCAAGTTATACATTTATTTTAAGCCTATGGACAGAAAAATCCACAGATTATCTCTAAAATAAATTTTGACCCATTCCGTTTTACTTGCAATAATAATGCCATTTGTGATTTATTGCTATATTCAATATATATATCTACATATATATCTATATATATATTCTCTCTATATATAGAAAAGCAATTTTATTTACACTGTCTGTTCCAAACAAAATCATCTAATACAGTAAAATTCCCAGCTGTGAAGCTTATACCGTCAGATTATACCACCTGCTAACAACTTGTTGGGAGTCAGCCATAGCCCGGGCTTCACTCCTTCATAATCCTTGAAGATTTTAACATCTGCCTCCCTGTTGTCTCTCCATACTTACCCTGGATAGACTTCTTGGTGATTTCAATATCCATGTCAGTTCCTTGATCTTGATTATTAATTGTGAGGGAGGGATCTTTCTATCTGCAGTTGCTCTGGGTCTCCTCTTTGTACAGTCTGTACCAACTGTATTTCCAAGGTTGGAAGACCTGTATTTGTTGGAATTACAGAAAGTTTCTTTTACTTCATTATACTTTGTAAAATGTGAGCTCTAGCTCTTAGGATCTCTTTGCTTTAAGTACTGTGTGTGGCCCTCAGTCTCAGATTCTAACTTTTATTCTGCCAGGGCCAAAGGAGTAGTGGGGTGGGATGAAAGATGTATAGGGAGCGGAAAGATTTTATATCTTTTTGGTTTGGGGATGTGGTGGTAGGGGGAGGGGGTAATATCAAATAGAGTTTGCGACAGATGCCTATGTCAAACTCTTAATATATTTGACTTTAGTAATTGAGTTTTCTATTTAACTCTTTCCTATCCATCACCATAATGCATTATATCTGAATTAATCTTATGAGGTGGTTCTTATCAGGACACTAGATCAGAAAGAAAATATAACTTATTTAAGGTCGTGTATCTAATAAGTCAGAACCAAGTATAGACTACATTTCTTCTGAATCCAAATGCATTTTTTTATTGGCATTAAAAAATGCATTGTTCAAAAGAGTGGTTAGGAGAGTTGCTTTGGCTTTCTGCCCAGGATAGTGTTAAAATACAGGGGCAATTCAATAAATGTCACCAGTGGTGTCTGTAGTGATGGTTGTAGTGGTGACAGATCAAGAAATGTGCTGAATTATTCTAATGGATGCTTTCTTTTCTCTCTCTCTCTCTCATTTTTTTTTTTAGATTGGCAAACACACTGCCTATTTACAGCATAGAGACCCCAGTGGAGAGCTAGGTGGGTGATGATTCATGCTAAATCTTTCCCACAATATGCTGAACACTACAACTGCAGCTAATGTGAAGGGACTCATTATACACTGTCAAATCTGATAACAGCAACGACTGGCTTTGCTAACACGAGCAATTTGTGGGAAGTCCAGCTACTGCAAACCATTACTGAATTTCAAAAAATAAGCTGCAATATAGTAGAAAAGACATATCCATTGAGTCATATTTGCAAATTTCTTGTGTTTCTCTTTGCCAGTTTAGAAACAGCCTCATGTTTCCTGCTTGACTCCAGAGATGACTTTCCTTGGGATTCACTTATCTTGTGAGTGCCTCCTCATTCAGTCATATCTTCTGGGCTAAAAATTTTGTGAGGATTTTGGTGGCTGATGGACAGAACTGGAAATGTGCTTCTTCAATGGAAATATTTCTGAAGCTTCCTCTTCACACCACCATCCACCAGCAAACCATGCCATACACATAAATACATTTACATACTGTAGCACAGTTTCCATGAGTGGTACTTCTACCTGCAGAGAGATAAGATGAGGAGGCAGCAGGAGGCAGGAACACTGACTCTTTGCACTATAATTTATTATATCTTCACTAAACTGTAATCTACTTGAAGGCAGGAATCTAAACCTATTTATCTACTTAGCACCTATGAGCCATAGTTGGCCCTTTATATTTATTGGAAAAATTAATGCACTTCCTTTATAATATATATTATATTCCTTTGTAATGTAATAATAACAAAAACTTTATTATTAAGGCAGGAACTGGGGTTTAGCCTTCTTGCCTCCCCTGTCCCTCATACAGTGCCTAACACATAATGAGTAGAAAACTACGTTTGTCTAGTGAAAGAACAAAGGTAAAAATGAGTCCACCAATCAGATGGTTTCCTGCAGCCAAAGTAATACCTAAGCAAGGGATGTTCAACCATCAGAGACAGAACAGTGATGGTTTCAAATCATGTTTCTTCAGACCACCATGAATAATGCTCTAAAAGTAGTTGTTTATTTTGGAAGGCAAAAGCTAATCTGAACGCTTTTCTTCATTTTTATATTCAAATGCCTATAAACGAGAAAAACACCAGAGACCTATTCATTGCTCACAAATAATCTATGGGGCAATAAATGTGCTTGCTTTTCCAACTGTGCTGCACTTTGGTGCTATCTTGGGTTTAACTGAAAATATGCTGGGACCTTGGTTTTGTTCACTGGGCATGTGGGGGTATAACTGGCACAAGGCCTCTGAAGAATTCCCTTCTCATGAATGTCATTTAGCTAATTTGGGGTTTGCCGGAAGGAAATAATATGTAAAGTCCTATAAAAAAACAAGATGCATTTTATTTGCATGCAATGCACATGAAGTTAACAATTTAGAAAAGAAATCAACTTTTTATTTTGCCATACCTATTGTGTTGAATCCTAAATGCCATCAGTATGATAATGGTATTGTCCCTAACAGTCTCATGTTTCATCATAATTAAATAAACAGCTTGTGAATTGCAGTCCAAAAATGTCTGTGTTCCACTCCTAACTTAAGGGGTTTCCATAGAAACTGTGTGCAGCAAGTCTAACTGACATGTATTGGACTTGAGGCTATATGCAGCACTGATCTCTCTGATTTTCTCTCTAGCACTCTGTGTATGTCTTCTTTTCGTCCTTTAACCCTCCCAAACTCCTTCCCCCTCAGTTCTCGCCTCCTCCTCCTTCTTTTCCTCCCTCTCTTTCTCTTATTAGCAATGAGGAAGTAATTTGAACTTAGTTAGATTTAACAAATGCAATAATACTCAAATGGGCTCTGATACTTAAGTGTAATTGTGTTATTAGCTGGAAATGTTTTTCTTCAAAAATTAAAGAATTGGGAGTGAAGTTTTTACTAAGATAGCACACATTGGTAAGAAGGAACTCTTGCCTGTCACTTGAAAGTTTGTAGTCTATGTATCATAATCCAAATTCATATCCAACTATGGCCTGCTCTTTATTTATTCAACGCAGTCTGATATTTCTCCTGAATTCCTATTTTCCTCCCAGAGCAAAATAACACTGTGCTGACCATATTCCAGGAGAAAGCAGGAATTTACTTAGGAAAGATAAAACATACTACATACTGAGTACCTACTGTGCAACATATAGTTTGTTATGTACTTTTACTTATGTTTTCTAGTATACCATACGAAATTCACGGACAGATAGCATGTGGAAGGAAAATGAATCTGGAGCTGGTCAGGCCCACCACAGAGTGGCTGTAAAGCCTTAAACATGGTACTTAAGTGCTCTGTCTTGGTTGCTCAAAGACAAAATTGATAGGAGCACTTCTAAGCCATGAGGTTTGTCTAGGATTAGATGTGATACTACAGCTAGTATTATCACAGTAGTAGCATTTGTCTTTATCCTTTTAGAAATGAGGAAAACAAGTTGCCAAAAGAATATGTCATTTAGCCTGGACAACATAGCAGGACCCCATCTCTATTAAAATATTTCAGAAGTAGCCAGGTGTGGTAGCATGTACCTGTAGTCCCAGCTACTATGGAGGGAGGCTGAGGTAGGAGGATCACTTGAGCCCAAAAGTTCAAGGTTACAGTGAGCTATGATTGCACCACTGCACTCCAGCCTGAGTAATAGAGCAAGACTCTGTCTCTAAAAAAAAAAAAAAAAAAAAAAAAAGTCACTTACCTAAATTTACATAGCTAGCAGAAGATATGTCTACACAGTATGGTTTCTAAAAGGAGGTGGATTTGGACAGCTAATTGTGTAATTTGAGTTAAGTGACATACTTACAGAGCATCTGGCTCCTCATCTGTAAAACAGGAATAATGTTCTTACTTCATGGGGTTGTTGGGTGGATTAAATAAAACTGTGTATGTAAGTTAGTGCCTGTCATATGGAAAGCACACCATGTTCTTTGAGCTCTCAGTCTCCTGCCCTCCCCTCACTTTTCTGATTTGTTTTGGTTTTAGTATGACTTCAAAATTTAAAAATAATTGATCCCCAAAGTCTATCTAATACTTCTAGTTTAAAATTATCTTACAATTCACAAACTATCTCAAGTTATCCAGACAACAATGTGAAAGGAAAGACAGATACTACCAAGAGATCGAGACCATCCTGGTCAACATGGTGAAACCCCGTCTCCACTAAAAATACAAAATATTAGCTGGGCATGGTGGCACATACCTGTAATCCCAGCTACTCAGGAGGCTGAGGCAGGAGAATTGCCTGAACCCAGGAGGCGGAGGTTGCGGTGAGCCGAGATCATGCCATTGCACTCCAGCCTGGGTAACAAGAGTGAAACTTTGCTCAAAAAAAAAAAAAAAAAAAAAGAGTGAGAGAGATCTTTAATATAGTAAATGAGGAAACTGAGGCTTTACCTAATTCCCCAGGGTGCTTTTTATAATTAAAATTTGCAATTCCATTATTCTTAATTTGGATCCTATGTTCACAGGTTTTAAGGCTAAAACCCAATAGAAATTAACTCCTCTTTCTAATGTACCAGTGAGTGGAAGACACTTTTAGTCAAGAAAAAGGGAAGGAAGCAAGGAGAAGGTAGTCTCTTGCAATCCTGTTTCCAAGTCATTCTTCTTGGATCTGAAGAGACATGTGGAAATGTAATTGTCAATTTCAGGGATAAATGAAGCAATATGCTTTATTGTGCAGCAATGTGCCTAGTGTTGCTGGCTGGAGAAAAGGGATGAGGTGAAGAGAAAAAGCAAAAAAATTTTAAAAATCCAGATATCAATCAGAGATGTTGATTGATACATGGCAAATTGATTACTAGGTTACTAGGAAGAGAAAGTGAGACTGCATCAAGGACAAGAGTCTGATAGGGCATGATTGCTGGCAAAAGTGATAGTAACTATTCTCTCTGTCTCTCTCTCTCTCTCTCACACACACACACACACACGTGCCCACATGCATACATAGGTGTACAGGTTTAACCAGAATAAACACTTATAATTTTGTGGTTTTAAAGAGCTCATATTGAAGATAAAAATGATAGCTCAATCTTTTTTGTTGTTGTGTGCTTATACTTGCCTTATTATTAAAATATTGATTCTCAAGAAAAGCAAAAACAAAAACAAGAAAATTGATTCTGTGTAATCTCTGGAAGAATCTTAAGCTACTGTGTCTATTTTGTGAGTGCCAGTTCAGTTAAACTAAGTAATATAATCTCTAAAGCCAATTATCCCACCACACAGAAATAACAGTATGTCCTACAGAAAGTGTGATCAAGTAATGGTGCCACAGGCAAGGCCTCTGTTTTGGAACTCCCACTTTTACCCAGGATTCCCTCCATAAGTTATATGAGGCATAGCAGCATTGCCAAATTAGTGAAGCCGAATTTCTTCACTAGGTTTTAGATGAAAGTTAATTACAAATAGAAGTTTTCATATTTGTCTTCCATGTCCTCACAGGTCATCCTGGGATTGAAGAGAGTAGGTAAGAAAAGTGGGATGGATGCTGTAGCAGACATTTTATAGGGGATCAGGTGGTAAATATTTTAGGCTTTGCAAGCCATATAGTCTATCAAAACCACTCGGTTCTGCCCTTCAATGTAAGAGCAGCCATAGACAATGCTTACATGCATGGGTGTAGAAGTCGTCTAATAAAACTTTACTAACAAAAACTGGGGTGGTAAGCCCGATTTTGCTGATGGGCAGTAGTTTCCAAACCATTCATCTTAGAGTTTTGCTTATATCTCCATCCTTCTTCTGGTTCTGCTCACGTCAGGTACAGCTTAAAAAAATGGGACTAAGGAGTGCAGGAATGATAGCTACATCCTAATTTACCCTAATTTTATGAATTTTACTTTGTATACACTGATTTCTCATTAAACTTTATTTTTCTGGTATGCCGTTGGCATAGAAAGAACACATATTCTGTCTTCACTTTACAGATGCGTACAGAAAGTTTAATTAACTTGCATTATTGGGCTGGCATGGTGGCTCACACCTGTAATCTCAGCACTCTGGGAGGCCAAGGCGAGCAAATCAGGAGGTCAGGAGATAGATAGAGACCATCCTGGATAACATGGTGAAAACCTGTCTCTACTAAAAATACAAAAAATTAGCTGGGAGTGGTGGTGCACATCTGTAATCCCAACTATTTGAGAGGCTGAGGCTGAAGAATCTCTTGAACCTGGGAGGTGGAGGTTGCAGTGAGCCGAGATCATGCCACTGCACTCTGGCCTGGGCGACAGAGCAAGACGCAGGCTCAAAAAATAAAAAAAATTAATAAATAACTTGCATTACTGTCACCCACCATCTCTCATATACATATTAGAATCTATCAGCTCTGTGTTTTTTCAGTTGGATTACTC